TGAGGAGGTAAAACCCTACGTCATGTTCTTGCTTATATTGTGGGTGTATCAAAGTACAGAGTTGATCTACCTCAAGATCATAAGTTGTGGACTAAACCCTAAAGCTAATGATGATGATAATCAATGCCCCTCCACGGGCTAAACCCTTTGGTTTATATAGGCATCAAAGGTATCTAGGGTTACACATGGTCGGTTGACATCTAGGGGTTACATGCCGAACCTAATGGATATTCTTGGAGTATACGTCAAGTCTTCGGCGTTGTCTGATGTGAGCATGCCACAGCTTCGAGGCCTCCAAAATCCTTCCACGTCAATGGTCAGTCAGTCCAGCCCATGGACTAGATATGCTAGGCCGGGACCCTCTAATCCAGGACACCGTTAGGGAGGATGGCAACCGTGTCTTTTTTCGGTGCCACTTGGCCCGCTTCGCATGGAGTGTCATTAGAGAGGCGTTTAGGCAGGACCAGAACCCCTCGTCGGGTGCTGACCTGCTCGCCTTGCTATGGACTCAGAGGGGTGCATTTGCTAGAATTGTGTGGCGTGGTGTAGGGGCGCTGTTGTGGTCACTCTGGACTGTACGTAACAAAATTACCATTGAGAAAAAGTTCCCTTCTTATCCAGCTGATGTCATTTTTAAATGCCATCTCTTTCTATAGACTTGGACACCGTTGAAGAAACAACACAACTCTGAGATCATGCAAGATGTCATGGAGCTGATCAGGTGCATTCAGATTTCTGCACGGCAAGACACAACGCAGACCTGATCATATTTTATGGGCCACGGAGTTGGCTGGTGGCATGGTTCCGTAATTGGTTATAGACTTATCCTATGTTTGGCTCATGTGCCCTTGGTTTGTATCGCTTTTATTTAGTACTATACTTTAGCTGGTTTGTTTGGTTGAACTATGTTGGATACTGTCTCGGTTGGTTTTATTAATTTAAAGTCGGACGCTTCTTGCATCTTCATTCTAAAAAAAAAGTAGCTTGAGATCCATAGGGTGAGGTAGAATGCCGGCATGACAATAAAGTTGACAAGAGAACAAGCGGC